CCAAATTAAAAAAAAAAAAAGCAGAGCCTCGATCACATTGGAGATTAAAGGTCTGTCATCGCCACGTATGTGACTTGCTTCGAATACACAGCAGAGATTGTTTATAATTGCATCACATTATAAAAAATTAAATGTGAGAGATTTTCATGGTACAATGTCAATTCTCTCTTCTGATTGTCATAAATCTTTTTCGATACACGCAAAAGAATCGGCGAATCATTGTAAAGAATGTATTGCTCTTATCGATTATACGATAAGCGATTGTATATATTGTTTAACTTTAGGACGGCGTATATATACGCTCCATTTTTCTGGAGGGTGCTGGCTGGGACAAAGAGAATGGCATTCTCATCGAACCCGCACCCATGCAACTCGTGTGCAACATGCCGATGATCCATTTTCGACCCGTCGAGCAAATTAAAAAAAAGGTCAAAGGTAAGGCCAACCATGCAAATGTCAAAATCATTTTATTATAATCGGATTTTCTTCGCGCGTATAAACACAATTACAATTACCCAAATTAAAAAAAAAAAAGCAGAGCCTCGATCACAACCAATATTCGCTTAACATTTTTACAGAATTATACCATTGTCCTTGTTATTATTATCCCCAAAGGAGCGGCGATCAAACGAGATCTGCGTTCGTTGTAGCTATAGATCTCAAAGCTGGACCGCAGGGTCCAGATTTCTGGGTGAAACGAGGAACTGCGCTTTTATTGAGCCTGGCCGTATAAGTTATATGTTAATTTGTATTCACAAGCCTCAGTTTAATTTTAGCAATAACATAAACGCATAATATATTTATTAGAAGTAGTTTATCGCATTAAACATCCTATGGGGATGTCCTATAAACGTCTTTTGAACATGTGTGGGTTACATGACTTTGTATTTTTCATTTGTGTTATATAGATAATTAAAAATGGCTTAATGTTTATGGGATTTGAAAACGTATATGTATTTCACATAAACATTTTACAAAATATTAATCATTATATATGTATATTAGATTTCGCTTTAAAAATAAATAAAGAAATAAAACAATGTGAAATAAATGAGATTATTAGCTCCATCTCTCGTGATCCAACTACATGATAGTAGATATAACATGGTATATAAAAAATATTAAATTTTCTAATAATTTCCGTAGAGAGGAGAAAGAAATATACACGATTATATTACATATAGTAAATATTTCTACACAAATTATAATTAAAACAAACAATATATATTCATAAATAATCTAAAACTGTTTCTCAATTGGTATCAAAGTACCAAGAACTGATACTTTCTAGAATATGGATGTTAGTATATCGATACTTGATACTTTTCATGTACCAACAGAGTGTAAGTGATGTTATTTCTAAGTTATTTTCAACAGATAAGCATATCGATGAAGGTATTTTTAAAATGCACATATTCACTGTTGTAAATATCAATATTATTAACATTTAATAAAAATATTTATTTATGAATTATAATATAAATTATCATTTACAAGTACGAGATAAATCTCAAAATACGTTGCTAAATAAAACAATTTTTAAAATATCATTATATATATGCTATAAAATATAAAAGGCTTATGGTTACATGTATGTTATAAAAAATATAGATTTAGAGAAATTGGTTTTACATTTATTCTAGACCGTTAAAAGTTCTGATAATTACAGAACAATCAATTGTTCTTTTGCAATTAATTTTAAGCAGATTAATTCTAAATCATCGCAAAAATCACATAAGCAATTTTAATAACAATTGGCTGCTTGAAAGAGAGTATGACTAAAAAGCATATTTTAATTATTCGACAAAAAATATTTTTTACAAAATTATATATATATCTCTCTCTCTCTCTCTCTCTCTCTTGAAAATAGATAACAATTATAAATAACGTCACTAAATCGAATTCTCCAATTTGTCGTGGTATACAAAGAAGAAATTGATTCAGTTCATCGCGATAGAATTGATTTGGAACTTCCGTATTTACGGTTAGTACATAAGGATACGAGACAGATTGAGTCGAATTGAAGAAAAGAAGTAGAGACAGACGAGACGAGATTAAAGGTCACCAGTCTTGTTGGCGGATCACAAACATCAGGTCGCTCTCACGATTCTGACCCTCACGCAATTATTTCTTATTCTCGGTGTAATGGCGCTCGACGAAGATCCCGGTGCATTCAGAGTTTTCTCCTACCTTCCACCGTGCTTTAATAGTACGAACATCACTTCTTCTTTCTCGCCTCAGGTGCTGCTACGCGCCTCCGCGATGTCCTACCATTTATCTACACTTCTTTCCCGATGTTGTTAACATGAAACTACTCAACTCATTCAATGCTAGATTACTTTTTTATCACGATTTATACGTATGATGTTTTCTCGTGACACAGAATTTTTTTTAAAGAGAATATATTTGTAATAACATGACTGACAAACAGCGAAAATTTTTTAGATAAATCTATCTATATTTCTACAATCAAAAATAGTAAAAAAGAATTTTTATATTTTCATGAATTTTTTAGGTATATTATTTAAAAATTAATTGCGCACGTATATATGCTTTATAATTTTTATATCATTAATCAAATGTATTTTTATGTTAATTTCAACTTTGGAATTTCTAAAATATTTTTAACGTGCGAAAGTTATGTTATATTCTCTTTAAAAAGAATCCCTCTTTTTCGTCCCGCTTATACATATTTTCATTTTTATGATGTATTTGTTGCCGTTTTTAATATTTTAACTCATAAACTTTAGAAATTGATTCCAGACTTACAATAAAAAAGTTCTCCCTTCGTGAAATAAATTGAAAAACTTATAAACGGGAACGCGAGAAACACAGTCAAGCGACAGATAAAATCAGGTAAAAATTTTAGGTACGACGATAAATTGAGAAGTGAGAAAAACTGATTTGCATTTGATGTCGAAGCAAGAAAAAATGAGTATCTTTGTTAAATGAAATTGTATTGCATTGCGCACTTTGCGTCCGAAACTGTCCGGAGCAGAAGAATAATAGAGATAAGCGAATGAGTAATAGTCGCGGGTAACTGGATATCCGAGAAAATATTTTTCGGTGAAAGGTCTCTCCATATAATTCGACAATGGAAGATTCTTAATTCTGAAAGATAGCAATAAAGAATATTTTTGCTTCCTCATAGAGGAACACAAAGCTTCCTCTATGAGGAAGCAAAAATTGAAAAATCCGCATGCTTAAAGCAGCTTAAGCATTGTAAGATAAAATGATGAGGAAGCAATGTGCAAGTTTTTAATTTGCACAACTCTACTTGTTATATTATTATTTTATTGGACAGATAGCGTGAATTTGCAGCATCTCTATACATATATTTAAAATATATAAATGTACACATAATATAATTATATAAAATATAAAAAATATTTCGCGTAAAAAAATCCATACGCAGAATATTTTGCATAAAAAAGAGACGCGTAAAATTATAACTTATACGTTCTGCATATTGCTTGCAATCATTCAATAGTATCAATTAATCAGGTATTGTTATCCCAATTGCGTTATTATTCACTTCTAATCCTCGATGAATATATGCTATGTATTTCAAAATCCTGCAGTATCTAGGAGGTCTCAAAGGTATTTAATGCGGTCCGCTATTTACGTATAGGGTTGCCACCCGTACTTTAAAATAAAGTATTGTACGTTATTTTGGACGTACATACTTTATATTTTGTAAAGCAATAAAGTACGCTAAAATACTTTATTTTACGAATACTAAGTTTTCATTAACACGTTCACGGCGGATGTTACCGTGTCGCGTATATGTGATTTATTATTATGAGCGCATTCCGTTTCACGCATTGAGCGCATAGATCGCCTGGAAATCTATAGTTCACGTAACATATATTAGTATTAGAGGAACAAAGCTTCTCTAAATTTAATTAAAAATGAGTTGTTGATATATTTAAATTTAAATATCGGTTGTAAAGACGCTGTAGAAATCTTTAAAAAAGACAAACACTTATTAGATATTGCAAAAAGTAATAAAAAATATGTATGGAAAAATAAATATAAAAGATATATATGTACTTTTTTTTTTATTTAACTTTTTTTTCGTTCTCAAAGGCGTTACATACGTTATTTGTTTTAAAAAAAGGTGACAACCCTATTTACGTATGTGACAAGAAATTATCCATACTCGTCGCATTATCGTCAATTATAAAATCAAACATATACCGAAACGACAAAACACACACCTAATATCATGTTCAAATGTATAAAATATTGATATTTTCCTTAGATAATTAAATTAAATATCGCAATACTTTGTCATAAAATAGCATTTTTTTTTTATAGCGCTACCACTCACGACAATCGTAAAAGTTCGCTTCGAAAGTAAAATAATGAGAGAATCCCCGAGAAAATCCAAAGATTCTCTCTTATGATCAGTATCGGAATCAAACGCATCGATACTTGATACGGAGCACGCAACCTTAGGTATCTGCATCTCTCTCTAGGCATATCGGCAGTATCTCTCTCTCTCATCTCTGAAGAGAGAATAATCCTCGCCGCTCTGGACCAATGGTGGGGGAGAGACCGGGAGCCGGGCCAATCAAGCGAGCGCGACGCGCGACGCAGAGCAGAGGCGCGCAGGTTCCGAGCCGCCGGGCGCCGGGCATCCTCAGAGCGAGCGTGGACGTCCGCGGAGACAGAGCTCTCGGTACTCTCGTACGTATCCTCGGGGTTCTTGCGTGCTTGCAAGTTTGTGCCTGGCATCGCGGACGCGGCTCGATTTTTCGCGGGACAATCGCCACGCTCGCGCGCGCGAGTGCTCATCGGTTGATTTTCGCCTTCCATTTCCGTCCCATCATTCTCCTCCTCCCCCTTCTT